CATCAAGGAGCCCTGGAAAAACTGGAGTCAATGGGAACTGGGTGGAGTGGGCAGGGGGGGATGGGGCAAAGATCTCTGCTGATTTAAGTCATACCTACCACAAAGGAAAAGATAGTTGTGGCTGTTGGAGTTCATATGTCTTAGTACCCATGACATCTCTACAGGAGTTCTTCAAAGTAGTTTTCTAGGTCCAACTATCTTTAGCTGCTTCATCAATGGTCTACTTTCCAATATAAGGTCAGAAATGAGGATGGTCACCGGTGTAGCGTGTCAGCATCATTCTTTAGATACTGAAACAGTTCAGATCCAAATGCAGCATCTAGATTTGGGCTGACAAGTGGCAAGTAACATTTGTGCCGAACAAGTGCAAGGCATTGACCACCTCCAACAAGAGAGAACCCATTATGTTTTGACATTCAATGGCTTTACCACTGTGGAATACCCCACTATGAACATCTGGGTTTTTTTTGGGGGGGGGGGGGGAAGTAGTGGTGGTAGCTACCATTGACAGTAGTGGAGGGAGTAGTTTGGGGCGGTAGCTACCATTGACCATGAGATTGAACTTGAATGAAAACATACAAATACTGCGGCTTAAAGAACAGTTCAAAGCCTGGACATTCTTCTTTATGTAACTGACTCATTGCCTCCCAAAACCTTGTCCGCCATCTATAAGACACAAGTCAGGAGTGTGATGAATGGGTGCAGCTTGAACAACACTCAAGAAGCTGGATACTATCCAAGATAAAACAGCCTACATCTTTAATGTCTACTCCCGGCACTCAGCATTAAAAATGTGTACCATCTGCAAGATGCACTGCAGAAATTCAGTAAGGCTCCTTAAACAACATCTTCCAAATTCATAACTACTTCCATCTAGAAGGACAATGGCAGTTGATACATGAGAACGCCTCCACCTCCAGGATCGCCTCCTAGCCAATCACCATCCTGACTTGAAAATATAGAATAGATTCCCATAGTGTGGAAGCAGGCCATTTAGCCTATAGAGTCCACAATGACCCTCTGAAGAGCATCCCACTCAGATCCACCCCATCTCCGCATTTCCTATGGCTCATTCACCTAACCTACATATCCCTGGATTCTATGGGTAATTTAGCATAGCCAAACCACATCTTTGACTGTGGGAGGAAACCGGAGCACCTGGAGGAAACCCACGCAGACACGGGGAGAACATGCAAACTCCACATGGACAGTTGCCCGAGGGTGGAATCGAACCCGGGTCTTTGGTGCTGTGAGGCAGCAGTGCTTAACACTCAGCCACCATAACACACATATATAAAATATTTATGTTCTTTCAGTGTTCAGTTCTTTCACTGTTCCTCCAATGTTACTGGATCAATATCCTGAAACTCCCTCGCTAACAGCTTTGTGAGTGCACTGACACCCTAAGAACTCCAGTGGTTTTAGATAGCTGTGCCCTGCCAGCTTCTAAAGTGCAATTAGTGATGGGGATTAAATGTTGGTTTAGTGAGCACTGGCCACTTCCCATGGACTAATAAAAATAATTTGCTTTATCTAGTCTGTTATCGACTTCAGTCACTTTCAGTCACATTCACTAACATATGCCCAGATCTCCCAGCCTCTGAACAGATGGAGACTGGAGCTATTTTCACCACATGCACACTCTCAACCTTTCTTTTCTGCATCACTGACTCGATTTCAAAGCTGTCCTACTTCACAGTTTAATTTTGTCTTTTGACACTTCAACAAACTGTTTCTCTCTCTTTCCGGTGTTAAGGATCACTAGCTTAAACAATGCATGGGCGCTGACACTCTTCCAGAATCCTCCTCACCTTTCCTTCTCTTCTCTCTGATCTTGCTTCTTCTTCTCATCTGGCTGTTGCTAATGTGGTTCACATGAACTCCCCACCACCCACCTCTGATGTTGAACATTCTGTTCTTAGCCAAATATTCAGTTTTATCTCCTTGCACCCCTGCCTTAATGAATTTCAAGTTTAGCACAATATTGAACACTTCTTCCATCACCTTTGGTTCCGTGCCCAGGAGTCTTTGCGCCAGGAGTCCTCCTGCTCCACAGATATTTGAATGCATTTTCAATATCATCCTTCCTACTGGAGCTCTCCCTTTGGCCTCTTACCCACTCGGTCTTTTCAGTGAGAACTGCCAGCATGACATCAGCCAGTTCAATTCTCTACTTCACTCCCTTACTCTAACCTGTCTCAGTCTGAACTTGCTGCACTCTGTGCCCTCAGATCTAAACCTGACACTGTTATCCAGTCTGCTGCCTGAAAAGGATGCAATTTATATCTGGAAAACTGGCCTACCGCTTGTAGATGCTGAGCCCCAACTCTGACAATTTTTCCTATCTTGTCAAGGACCATGGCACCCATCCCTGAACATCAAGCCATTGTTCCCAGAGCAGTCACTGATCTCATTTCTTCTAGTTTCACCCACCTCCCTACTTCTATTTTATCTATTCCCTCCAAAATTTTGTGTGTTTTTATAAAATCCCCCCCTCATTCTTCTAAATTCCAATGAACATAATCTTAGTCTACGCAGTTGCTGCACATAAACCAACCCTCTGAACTCCTGAATCAACCTAGTGAATCTCCTGTGCACCTCCTCCAGTGCCAGTACACCCTTTCTCAAGTAAGAGAACAAAACTGCACGTAGTACTCCAAATCTGGCCTCACCAGCACCCGTACACCCCTGATACAGCTGTAATATAACCTCCCTGTTTTTAAACTCAATCCCTCTAGCAATGAAGGACAAAATTCCACTTGCCTTCTTAATTACCTGTTGCACCTGCAAACCAAACAAACCATGCACAAGGACACCCAGGTTCCCTCTGCGGCATGTTGCTGTGCAATATTTTACCGTTCAAATAACAGTCCTTTTTACTGTTATTCCTACCAAAACAGATGACTTCACATTTACCAACACTGTACTCCATCTGCCAGACCTTTACCTTAAACTATCAGACACTTAAACTATCTATATCCCTCTGCAAACTTTCAGAGTCCTCTGTACACTTTGCTCTATCATGAGTCTCTATCAGCACCCTGACTCCAGTGATTCCTAAAAGATCACCACCAATGCCTTACAACCCCCTTCAGAACTCTGCCATGTAGTCCAATTGGTCCCGGTGATTTATCCACCTACAGCTTTCCCAGCGCCTTCTCCTTAGCGATGACCACTACACTTACCTCTGCCCTCTGACTCTCTAAAGTCATAACTTTCTGCATGGGTTTCAAACCAGTCAAATTGAATAACACAGCTCTAATCAGGCGTGGTCTGTGTAGTAAATATGTAAAAATCCTAACTGTGCTAATAACTTGTACTATTCGCAAATTGTTAAACCTTAAAATATGAATGTTATGAAGGGAGCCTTGCCTATTGGAAGCCCACTAGGAAAATCTTGGGCCTTAATCTGCCACATATTTAAATACACAAGGAAAGAAAACAAATGTTCTAGCTCATGTTTCTGTACTAAGCAATACAGTTTAAAGACATGCAGCCCTGATGGGCAGCCTCCTCCTGTCATGCTGATGTGTCCACAGCTTCCCAACGTACATTTGCAGGAAAAGCCAAGACCATGACCTTTGATTTAGTTCTCACAGTGAATACCACATGCAGTTAACCCAGCTGGTTACTCTTTCTCCACAGCAAACAACGATACTATTTTTATATTTTGTTATTTTATAAGATGGGAAACAAAGTACTATTTGGCTTTGGTACTATTACACAACTTGGATTTAATTTAATTTGTCTTTGTGTTCAATAAAACAGTCTAATTCCATACTGAATTATCAACATGAAGAAGATTGAATACTCAAACTTTCAGGGAATTTCTGTGTACTAATTATATTATTCTGGGAACCCAAGCTATAGTTTCTACTTATTGCATACTTTTAAAAAAAAAACAAGCTGGTCTTTATAGCTTAGGACTGTTCAGATTCTACCCATTCAAATTTTGTAATGCTTTTAAATCAAATTACTTGCTGTAAAAAGTCGTGGAATATTTTAATATCCAACTTGGTGTTGGTCAGATGTATCAAATACAGGTTCCTTCACTTTCTCTGCGGATCCTCTAATCTTCATAGGTCATACATCTACTGTTCTTAAACAAGCTAATGAGGAATCGTCTTCAAGGCTGATAATTAACAGGTCAGTGAGAAAAGTAAGGTGCTTTCGACATGACTAACAGGAAAGAATTTGGTGGAGCAATCCCCCTCAGTGTGATGGAAGATTGAGCCAGTATCCAGAACACCTTTAGGAGATGGAAGGGTGATACACTGTAGAATACTAAGCCTCTAATAGATGCCGCATTTACGACCAAGTTCCTGGTCAAAATGACTTCAAGAATGCTGGTGGTGAGAGATAGAATGTGGGAATACCATTGTTCGTCCTGAGGATCTGATTGGATTTGCTCTTGCGGGCCAAATGACACATATATTACTTGCTAATTATCAATTTAGACTGGATACTGTTTGGGTCTTGATACAAGGACATGGGCGATTTTACTAACTGAGAATTTACAAACCGAGCAGAATATTTTGCACAGAACAGCCTGGATGAAGGAAAGACATCTGGACCTAGGATGCTGCCCTGAGGAACTCCTGAAACAATATCCTGTAGCTGCCCTTCAACAACCACCCTCAAAAATGTGCCAGATGCCATAAGAGAATTTTTACCCTGATCCTAACTGACTTCAATTTTTCTTGGATTACTTTGTGCCATATTTGACCAAAGATAACACTCCCTGATTTCAAAACTTTGTTTGTTTAGAAATAAAATCCAGCTTCTCGTGAGTGTTATTGGAGTGAGTGTAGCCTGCACCTAACCCAATGTGCTTTTGAACAGGAGTTGGAAACTTTGTAGACTTTAAGAACCTCGTATATATGATGTTAACTTCAGAACAATAGCAACAGAACTCCCAGCAGTTTGATGTTGCATACAAAGAAACAATCATTAATTTTCTAACAGGATACAAAGTCAATCTCTTCTGCTCTTTTACTTACTTAAAGTTTCTGGCTCTTCCAGTCAATCTGTCTTTGCCCTTTGATTTACTGTTATCTGTAGCTTCAGACCACGGAAACAATTCTTTGGTCTTGTCGGAATGATTTCCATCATCTGAAATGCAGTAGGAAATGGCTGAGTAATGGCATCAGATGGAAAATACTTCATACCTATTTGCTTTCTGAATAACAATTTTTATCACAGGTTTAAAATGGCATTTCTTTTGGCAATGCAATGCAAGACACCATTTTTCAAATGCATACAGGATAGAATCATCTTCTGTTATCAAGTTAATAGGCTTTGCGAACAAGTTTAAAATAACATGTGGCATTACTCAGTTTTTAAAAAATGCATTTTAGTGTTTTTAACAAAAATGACATTTACCTGCGGCATGAGAAAGATATCGCTGTGATAAAACAAAATGTGCATACTACTCAGTATTGATTGCACCACTCACTGTAAAATACAACCATGCCAAATTCAGAAATAATTCCTTTTGACTTTTTCCACTTTTATTGCCAGCCAAATGGCAGGTAACCCTAATCAATTCCTATTTGGCAGTCTTTCAGCAGGAAAACATCCAAAAGACTCTGTTTTCACAACAACATATGAAAACACTTTGCATGCAGTAGTTATTTTGGCATCAGCAGTAGGAAGATTGCCCTTCTATCTTAATTGGAAGAGAAGGAAGCTTCTGCACAAAGATTAAGGATATTTTACAACTGAAGGTGCTAACAGGTCCCAGTGTTTTGCCATGAACCTTTCAGATCTACATAATCTCACACTTTGAACTCAAATCCTGACTATACAAAATATTCCCTTGGAAAAAAAGTCTAAAGTGAGAAATGCAATTTGAATATTTAATATTAGTATGATGAAACTGTTCAGCACATCCCAGCAATTAACTAGGCAGGAAATAATAGCTAAAAACTCTAATTTACCTTTAATCATGAAACTTTAGTTCATAACTTTGTGGACTAATGTCCAACAACATGATCCTATGGGATCATGATGCAATGATGATACAATACCTTGACAATAAGACAGCATGAAAAAAGGGGGAGCTCACAATGGAAATACCCAAAGCTCATGTAGATCAAGCTCTTTATGTAGTATTAGCATACTATGAAAGACTATGTTCAAATATACATTGACCAATGCAGGATCATTTCAGAGACAACAGACCCTGAAGATAAAATATGTTAGGAGCAAGATGACAATATATGGAATTGAAGTATTACAGGGGAAAACCTAAAAGCAGCCAGAACTATAAGACAGGCTACAATAATGGAAACCACTACATCACAAACCTTAAGTTTCCCCCTCAATACAAAAGAGATTTCAAGGATGACACAGTGTATTCAGCACTCCAGACTGCATTTGATGAGATGACTTGACACCATACATGATGTGGAGGTGTTGGACTGGGGTGGACAAGGTCAGAAAGTACACAACACCAGGTTATAGTTCAACAGGTTTATTTGAAAACACAACAGAACCTCACTCCTTCTTCAGGTGTTAGTCACGTATGTTCAGGGAAAATGACAAATAACTTGATACATTGTCCAGAAAACCAGTTGAAGTGGCTGAGAAACAAGATTTGGAGTTGATAGTAGAAGTAGCAGATTTTACATTCTCAGAAAACAGAAATTACTGGCATTACAGAAGAAACTGCAGCAAATCACAGAAGCTAAATGTAGAGATGAAGAATGTCCACGGATCAGATTATTGTCAGGAAGGATGGCCAGCATACATCTCTTGTAGCTCAATATTGAGACAGTACGTCCCCCAATTAATAGGTGGGTTTTAATGAAATATTGGCAATTCATAAAGCATTCAAACGCGATATTCTTCAAAGATTGCATCAAGATCATCCAGGAATATTAATACAGAGTAAGAGCCCAACAGTATTTCGGTGATAATAAGAGATAACAAGGTGTAGAGCTGGATGAACACAGCAGGCCAAGCAGCATCACAGGAGCAGGAAGGAATTATCAGAGAGATAATCATAAATAATAGAACTCATTGTCAACTAATTATCAGGAACAGAAAGAACATTTAATATTGACACATCCATCAAGATCTTGGGAAAGGCTGGCAATGGACTTACTGGACTTGTTGAGTTTAAAGGGAAAGTTTACATCTTTATTACGAAATATTATTGAAGAATGAATTGAGGTAAATCATTTAACACAGTCTTATAGTACAGATAATGATAGAAGTATTGAAACAAATCTATTCAACTCACTGTGACCTGATCCAGTAGTATCTGACAACTGACTGTATTTTACAAACAAGCAATTTACAGAATTTGACATGGAATATGGATTCATTCATATAACAAGTTCACCTCATTACCTACAAGTAAATGAGCAGTGATAACCATAAAAAAAACTTCTGAAAAAAGAATCATCAGATAGATTTGGCTCTACTGAATCATAAATCACCATTATTATATAATGGACTATCACCAGCAGAATTACCTATGTCAGAAGACTGCAGATGCAACTTCCATCACCAAAACTGCATAATAGAATGGAAGACTATGATACAGCGAGACAATGGAAGGAGGTTCAAAGAGAGAAATAACCAGAAACTTTAATCAAAGACAACAAACAAGAGACTGTCAATTTTTCAGTTGGGAGAAAGCATATGGATCTGAGAAGGACAGCAAGAAGGAACTATTGCTGTGGAAACAGAATAAGGACAACAATATTGGGTGGAAATTGTGAAGAATAACTTTGAACAATCAATACAAGTGTAGCCGTACCACTTCAATTCAGACGATGACAGAGGAACAGAGAGAATTCTCTACACAGGCCAAAGGAATGCACACTCAAGCAGAGCAGAAAAAGAAGCAGCCGGACCATCAATCACAGCATCAAATCTAAATGAGAGCGGGGACAATTGTCGAATGGTCCCAAAGATTGTCCATGACGTTTGAGACATTGGGTGGAGTTAAGTGTATATAGTGCAAATAATGGAAACAAAGACTTGGGGAGAGATGTGAAGTAACGGTTTAACAACATGAGCCTATGGGATTATTATGTAACATCATATGAGTGAGAGAGACAGCTGGATAGAGATCTCACAGAGCAGACATTAAGTTAGCGTAGGTTAATCTCTGTATGTAATGTTGCTTTCTGAATAAAGGTTATGTTCAAATTTATGTAGACTACTGCACAATCTCTTAATAGAAACTGAGAAACCACACCCCACCCAATCACACCAGCCGAAAGGTGAAATAAACATGAAGAAAATAAAGGATGTTACAGTCAGTTCTACTTTTCTTACCAAATCAAGTTAAACTTACAAAATGAAATTCCCAGTGGGAGCTAGGTCATAACTATACTCGAAAATCCTTGCCAATAAGCCTAGATGCTCTAGAAACCTTAATTTCCTGTCATAACTTTGTAAATGTGATGAAGCTTTGCCCCATGGTAAATGTTAAATGGCAAAGTTAAAGTGGTACCTCCCCTCACCTCTAATTTAGTCTTCTTATCTCATTTCTTGCCCTCCAAAATTGTTACTGCTCCTCTATTCATGGCACACTGTTCTCTTTTGTTCTTTTTTTCTATCTCTATTTCTTCATTTGTTCTTATTGACTGCCTGTTAGCTCTTAATTCACCACCTGGTGAGTTTATTCAATCTTCACAAGTTCACTTTCTAATTATTTTCCTCTCTTTCGACTGGAGGGGTGTGACCAGTGGTATTCTGTAAGGATCAGTGCTGGGACCTCTTGTTGTCTGTAACATATAAGTGATTTGGATGAAAATGTAGGTGGTCTGATTAGTATGTTTGCAGATGACATGAAAGTTTACAGAGTTGTGAATAGTGAGGAAAGCTATCAAAGGATACAGTAGGATATAGATCAGTTGGAAAGTTGGGTGGAGAAATGACAAATGGGATTTAATCTGAAGTTTGAGACGATATATTTTGGGAATTCAAATACAACAGGAAAGTATACTGTAAATGGCAGCACCCTTAGGTATTTTGAGGAAGGGTAACCGGACCCTTACGGCCCTCAGGAGCATTGATATACAGAAGATCTTGGCGTCCAAGTCCATAGCTCCTTTAAAGTGGCAACAGAAGTGGACAAAGTGGTAAAGACATTGTATGACTTACCTTCATTAAGCAAGGCATTGAGTATAAATTTGACAAGTCATGTTGCAGCTGTATAAGGCTTTGGTGAGGCCACATTTGGAGCATTGTGCGCGGTTTTGGCCACCGCATTATCAGAAGGATGTGTGATCTTTGGAGAGGGTGCAAAAGAGTTTTACCATGATGTTGCCTGGATTGGAGTGTATTAGCTATAAGGAGACATACTTGGTTTGTTTTTGCTAGAGCCTCAGAAGGTGAGAGATGAGCTGATGGAAAAGTATATAAAATTACAAAGGCCATGGACATAGTGGAGAGGTGGAGTCTTTTCCCCATGATTTAAGGTGAGAGGGGAAACTTTAAAGGAGATGTGTGAGGAAATTTTTTTTAGATAGAGGGTGGCAGGTGCCTGGAACACACTGCCAGATGCAGATACAATAGCAATGTTTAAGAGGCATTCAGACAGGTACATGAAAAGGCATGGAATAGAGAGATATGAACCATGTGCATGCAGTAGGGATAAGTTTAGAATTACATCATTGTCAGCACAGATATGGTGGGCCAAAGGGACAGCTCCTTGCTGTACTGTTCTATGTTCTATTAACCCCACAGAAAATCCAGTCATCCTGTTTGCTGTTTCTGATTCTGTTTGCTCGTTTTTCTCTCATATTACACTGCATCTTATCCGCTTTTTCCCCATACTGAGACCTGCCCTCTTACTCTATAGTCATGTAGGAGACAATTTTTAATCAGCCGAAGTGCATGTGTCAGTGCAGGCAACAGGCTAAATGAGAAAGAAATTAAGCTGAACAAAAACAGAAATTGCTGGAAAAGCTCAGCAGGTCTGGCAGCATCTGTGAAAAATCTCAGAGTTAACATTTCGGGTCCGGTGACCTTTCCTTAGAACTGCCTTTATTAAGAAATGAAGCTGCATTCTTTTCTAACCCCACAGATGGAATACACTGTGCCCAACATCAGCAGCACTATTTTTAAAAAAAAAAAAAATTTTCTAGTTC